TTCGACATCTTCGTCCTCTTCAGAGATTAGTTCTAGAATACGATCGCTTGTTCTATTCTTCCCTGAGGAAGATGAGGGTGTCAAATGATTAGTACATTAGAATTATGGTATCAACTTCGTACTAGCTGAATTATCGGGAAAACTTAGCAACTGGAAATACCGAGGTGAAGGGAAAATCGGTTCTGTAAATGCTACTTGCATACCTGAAACCGGCTCCCTACCCACCTCGGCATTCTTCGGTGATTCCTTGTTTTTACTTCTTTAGCCAAACACGAGGTTGATATGATACAAATTGTTCCAGCAGCCAACGTTTCAAAGGTTTTGCCTTCGTAAAGGGCCTGGAAAGATCAGATTGCCCAGAACCCCTAATCAGCCAAACACCTTTATCACCTTAGAAAAAGGAAGTACTGAAAGTATCAAAGTAATCAAGATGTCTGGATGACTGGGGATTGTGGGCAACCTGATCTCTGCAGCTTTGAAAAGGTGAAGCCTATGCGATATGTTAATGCTTGAATAATCTGTATTGCAAAAAGATTGTTCCATAAGTTTCGCACTAAAGCAATGAAACCAAAATTGTTATTCAGAAGTAATTAGAATGACATAAAATAGGAATCATTAAACTACGCATTTTTCTGCAAATATTTTCGTATATAACTTGCCTATAACTATTTCAAGAAGAAGCTATCGTGAAGACAAACTCGCATACCACTCATGCATGAACGGCCCGCAGGAAAAGATACCAATGAAGCTGTACGCAAGATTAATGAAGTTCGAGCGATGATACTGCTGAGCAAACGACAGCGAAGAGTGATTCACGAAGTTCAGAGCTGCAGAAAACAGTCTGAAGGATCAGCCGCTCTCAGGCCGTGCACAGGAAGCTCCATTGATCTTGCGCGCTGCTTCGTTAGCATTTCTCCTTACCCGCCATTCCAGCATGAGTAGTAAGCAAATTGGTTCCCAAGACGGCTCCGTCTTGGAACAAGTGTAGGCAAGTTCTATACCATAATGTTTGCAAGAAGACGCGCAATTGAACGATACCAAAACATTGCATTTTCAGTTACTTCTGGTCAATAGATTTGGTGTGCACTGCTGTAGTGTCAAAACTTACGAAATGAACTGTTAATAACCCGTGTTGGCCTACAAGGAAAAGAGTGAGAGCTGTTTCATTACTTCGAATTGAAGGTCCGAAAAATCCCACAACCTGACTTTGGGATGGCCGATGGAGGAATCCTGTAATTGGAATTCTTCAGGTTCTCGTGGTCCTATGACAGCACGATGTCAAGTTTGGCTTGTAGGAATTTGAGGAATACGTTCAACTTTCGTGGAGGACAGTTCGAGAGCTGGGCGATAATTTTCCTGAAAACGTTGTAGAGCACCCCTCAAATCCTATGGAACCTTAACAATAACATTTTTAGTGATAGAATTGATATATTGCATTGCAGAAAGATGGAAAGCAGAAGAGGAGCCCGGAAGTGCAGTGGTTAGCACGTGTTTCACCCCTTCTGAAACGCGTGTTAACTTCCGCACAAGTTATGAAGTTCTGCATGTCACTTTACATTTCAAGATATCCCTTTTGGGACAGAGGAAACACGGCCTTTGCATAGCTAGCTAGCAACTCCAGACGGTCTGCTGCACTTTCTCGCATCTGCAACCCTCAGAGTGCTGCGTCAGGTTTTCAGCTAGAGATGCAAAAGGCATGGGTCCACATCCCGAAAGAGATATATGCTTTTAACAATATTTCAGTCAACAAAACATACCTTTTCGGGATTTCAAATGGGACTTTGCCTTGAGCCATGTTCCTGTGGTGGAGTATACAGGCGATAATTGCAAGAGATCACCGTAGATTGTTAGCTCCGTGAAGACGCCGTTAATTGGACTAAAGGACAATGTGGCTAAGAAAGAGAAGAATAGGAAGAAAATAAATAAGCTAGGAATAACAAAAAAGCATAAAAAAAGATGAGGCAGCAACGATACTGCGTCAAATTCCGTTCAATTGTGAGCGTGGGCATTCTTGCAAGTGATCGTACCCGCACGGTTTCCTAACGAATTTAACTCAACGCGTACCGTACAATGTAGAGAGCAACAGTATGTGGACGTCGATGGACTGATTTGTTGTTGGAGGACATCACTGAAATCCGTCACTGGAATGGACCAGAGACCAAATAAGGTCATTCTAAATGAACATAAGCAAAAGCTAACCATTTCCAAGAAAATGGAAGAGAAGACGCTAGTGGAAAATTGTGGTCTTATCAGCTTTTTAAGCCTATGTCTAAGCGTGCTCTCGTAACTTACTGTTTGACCCTTTCGGGACCGCAGACCTACGGCATCTCCTTTTTTGTTTGGAATTCTGGACGATGTATCTACTCTACCTCCTCCGTATCTCTAACCCCTAGCGTGCAGCGTCTCACAGGGCACGTCGCGGCGTTTATCAATGACAAGCCCGGGTTTAGAGATGCAGGGAAGTGGAGCAGACCGTCCAGAGTTACCAGCTAGAGATGCAGAGGTCGTGAGCCCACGTTCACTGAAGGGTTAGAGAAATAAATTTAGAAAGTACTTCAAAATTTGACGGGACCACAACTCGTTTCAAGGGTCGAAGAAAACTGTTCAAAGTTCTATATCCGAGGACGTTAAGTGATAAACAAAACTTCGCGGACCCCAGGCGAAAATTGAACTTGCCTTTATTCAATATCGGGCTTCACGCGTTAACCACTACGAGCACCGTGCTGCGGCCGCCGTCGCTCTGCTATCATTCTTTTCCAGTTGCTCTCTCTCCCAGCATCCTCGACTATATTAAGACATAATGAGACTTTCAAAAGAGAGGCAAAACGTAGAATTCTTGTAGAGCATAGAAACTTAGGGGCGCCGTGGCCGAGTGGTCGTTGTGCTCGTCGCGGCGCGCGTGGGGTCAAACCGCACTTCCCAAGATTTCTCTTGGGAGCTTTTCGGAAGTGGAACGAATGTTAACATGGCAAAAAACGTAAAAGGGTAACGCCACTATGGAGAGGAAAAAAGTTTCAAAAAAAAAGAAAAGAAGACGAACTTTGTGTTTGGACGACATTCACAGATTGTAGAAAAACAGGATTTCAAAAGAAGAAAAGATAGCAGAGATAAAAAATAAGAAGAAAGATAACCAGTTATTGATAATTTTATAGATAACAAATAACGAAGACGACGGCAAGTAGGAGGAGGGGTGGCCGAGCGGCTGTGATGCTCGTCGTGGTGCGCGCAGGCGAGTCATAAACGATGTTATATGCGGTTAAGAAAGCAAAGAAAAACAATCCGATTGAAGTGCTCAAAAATAAGGCAAAGACTCATTTCATGGAGATTTCGGACTACTAAGGCAAACAAATCCATGTGCATATTTCTTTGATTACAGAATGACTACTTTGCACTTGTGCCGTGGACGTTCAGTGAACATCGGAAACAACTTGAAGGAGGAACTACACAGACACAGCAGAAGACGCGAAACCCCACAGGTTGAATTTAGGCCTCAAAAGAAAAATCCGCTGCCATCAATGAGCCTAAATGTGAAGAAGTGCGTGTGAGGAACTCTAACAGCGCTTTCTCATGCAGCTCAGATTGAGCTTGGTTGATCAAACACGCCAAGAATTCAGTGCACCATCCACACAGCATCTGAATGACGTCTTCTGAAACTCAGACGACACTAAGATTCTGTATATTTACACAGAATATTACTGATAGAGTGAGATTTGATTAGTGATTAAGTTATTACCACCCGAATAGCTCGAATAATCGTTGTGAAGAATTTGAAGTGCTCTGAATGTAAACCGAAACAAAAAAATATTGACCAGTTGTGGCTTCCGTTTAATCATATAGGAAATTGCGACACATGACTAATCATATAATAGCGTAACTACCCAACAGTATTTATTAAACCATGAAACCTGAAGTAGCTTCAAACCCACTATTTTCCTATGTGAGGTCTCACTGAGATAAAACACAGCTGCGAGAGAAAAGCGATACGACTTCTTCGACAGTGCAGTGGAAGACTGAACCGGTTGAGGACCAGGAGACCCAAAGGGCGTGTCTGGCCCCGTTCCCTGGCTACGCTCCCACCAATCACGTCTATCTCTTGATAAATGATAGTGAATTGGGACGGTAGTGATGGTAGTGGCAGTGATAGTGGTTACAGTGATAGTGCTCATAGTGATAGCGATGCTAGTGATAGTGGCGGTTTCGACATTGATTACAGTGGTAGCGTTCATAGTGATAGTGATGATAGTCATAGTAATCATAGTGATAGTGGCGGTACTGACATCTGATTTTTTCTGATTAAGAGGCAACAAATGAAAAACCGAGGTGATATCCTGAAGAGGATTTTTTCATAGGAGTGTTAGCAAACATTCGAAAGCTGAGACTTGAGACTACAGCACCACGTCACCGGCTAATTCAAAACACCCCTATATAACGTTGTAGCATCCAGATCAAAAATTATGTTTCACATTCACCTTTCACCTTTATTTTTATTACACGTATGATTCGCTGGGAAGTGAAAAGCACATCAATGTTGAAAGAATTTTCGCAGTGTTTTAGTCAATCGTTTTATCTGGATTTTCTTGCAAAGCGGAGAAAAAAATCCCCAGTTGAATAACAATGGGACGATCATCTCGCCTCGCTCCACACCTTCCACGCCACCTGCCACGGCCGTCGCCTTGTCAGTTAGCCAATAAACAACTTGCCGAAAATGTAAAACTTGGTGTTATCTTCCCTGCTAAGCCGTATATTCAGAAAATAAGCACACCGCTAGAATCAGGAAACATTACACCTTCAGATGATTATTGGTACTTGGTTATTGGGTATACTATAATATTATACCACTGCAAGTGGCAGTCAAATAAAAAGCATTCTGAGTATCGATACCCAATGTCTGTCAACACAAGTGGGTTAAATGCCGATAGCGGCTGCCCCGCCAGACCGTCGACGGTTGGTTGTTGGCTGACAACGCGTTATAGCCTAAAAAAGAGTGCCGTGCAAAACGAGCATCCGTGATGCAAAGGTCAGCATACGCTCCCAGAAAGAATGAGATCTGGGTTCGAATCCCGGCTGGCGCAAATGTTTTTGCACAGCAGTCCACATTATTGATTATTGATAGCCTGGTGAAAGAACTCTGTCCGCCGAGTGTATTGCACAAATCAAGGACCACACGAGCATCGCAACCACTCGGTCTCGACTCCCGCAAAATCCGTATATTGTAATAAAACCCTTAGAAGATTTTATATATATGGTATATAAAAGGCAATATCTATACGCTGGTATCTAATATCTATATACATGGTATATAGAAGGAATATCCATACGCTTTTGAATAGGTTGATGACAGCAGAGAACAGATCTTGGTAATGCCAAAAGTTGTCCATGATACTCACTAAATCTGCTTGATCCTTGAACAGAAGTTGTTGGCTTTGTTTAGCCACATCTTCAACATTCTTATTTGGTCTAATCCATAATCACCAAGAAATCCTTCCAGTATATTACGCCATGCATCGCTTTGTTTCACATGAATATTGAAGACCATAGCATGAAAGAAACTGCTGTAACACATGACAAGAATTGTCTCAACATACTGAACCAACATTTCCATATGATATCAAGCCGTGAAACAGAAGTTTTTGATGGAAGAATAAGAAAATGGCATTTCATAATAGGTCAGTGCAAAACCAAAGACGATTCCTCGAGAGCGGTTCACAAAAGCTATGACTCCGCTCAAGCACAATTTCACTAATCGAAATGCTCTTCTGAACACTAGTCATATATGAAAAAGACAAATTCATCTGTTGCAATGTCTGCAGCTTCTGATTTCCGAAAGTCAATGATTATTTGGAGACATTTTCTGCAGTTGCCCGGATGTCGCATATTTTCCCGAGAGGTATTTGTCGAGATGTTCGATCAATAACATTTTATTAGCAAGAAGTTCAATGAGCATAAGGGGTGAGGAAGGTTTAGCTCGATTAAATTCATAGCATCGCGGTTGGAATATGTGGCTGAACAATGTCGGTCGTGAACAACAATTTCCTTTGATCAACATTGGAAACATTCATTGCAATATCTTTGGTTCAAGATAGTACCGTTTGTGCACTGGTTAGAGATGTCCCGCAAAACACACGTAATCGCTTGTTCAGTCTCGCGATATGAGCAGCGAAGCCTTCCAATGACTCAGCGCTTTCACGAAGAAGACTTCAATGGAGAACTGTTCAGATGCAAATATCGCGGCTGCAGAAATTTTAACTCAGTGGTATGATATTATGACAATACATCCAATTTAATTGAATAGCGCCAACGCAAGGAAGACGTGGGTTCGACTCCAGCACGAGGGTCACAGTTTTGCGTATCACTCAGCGCTGTATCGCAGAGTGACAGCAGAACGAGTCCATGGTAGTCCAGTGGTTAGCATTCGCGACATGAAATGGTAAGATGCGGGTTCGACTCCCGTCGAGTTTCAAAGTTTTGCATATCACCCAAAGTTTTGGATATATTGTACAAGAAGCGTTCAGTCGCAGAAGAAAATGTCCATTCGACAAGCAGCAAGGAAGAAGATTGTTATGTTATCTGAGAAATTGTAGAATTTGCCAGAATAATAAGCACAAAGCACCCATCCACCATTCGCAGCATATTTACAAAAACCGAAAGCTGGCTTACTAAGCTGCAAGACGACGATCTCCATATTTCCAACACTGATGAAAAAAATGATTATTGAAAATTTAGTAAAATATGGGCTGGACACGTAATGCCTTTCAACGACTACAGATGGACGAAAGCAATTTCCAAGTGGATTCTTCAAAATGTCAAACGCACAACAGGAAGACCACCAACGCAAAAGTTCTACTTTTTTATGATTAGCTCAAGATAAAGATTTAACACACACCGAATTTCTACAGCGAACACAACCCAGTGGGCTACTCTTGCACGCGGTTAGTAAAAAAGAGGTATAATAGGTTGAGGAGAAAGTTTCCGGAATTTGCATGTAAAAACTTTATTTATGCATCAATTAAGTTCGAACAAAAGACAATTTAATAGTCAAAGTAGTCTCCTTCTGAGTCGATAACGTTCAGCCACAGATCTGGCAACATGAAGATCCCGCGGCTGTCTTTTCAACAGTTCCTTCGCCCCATGCCTCATTGAATCGACGAACAGTGTCAGCGACATTTGTGCCCACTTTGTACTCGTGAAGCATCAACAGTCGTTTCTGTTCGCGGTTCAGTTCCATCTTGCGGCAGTATAGAAGAGTTATATATCAATCGATGCGCAAGAAAACGAGCTTTCAAACCGTGTAAAAATCGCAATAAAACATGCGAACATGTTAAAGTTATGGGCAAATTCCGGAAACTTTCTCCTCAACCTATTATTACCGCATCGATGGAATTACTCGGCGATCAACGGGACAACAAGTGATGCAAACATAATGGCAGGAAAGGAAACTGCTTGTGTTTATGTTCACGCCCATAGCATGCTGGATTAAACATTTGTTAGCTTATGCTGCTTCACTTATGGAGACAAATATTTTGACCCATCTATTCAGTAGAGATGAAAAGTGGAAAAGTGTATCAAGAGAACTTCACTGGTAACGCCGTTAACCCATGGAAGTGGCCTACATATATAACTGCATACACTGCATCCCATTCTAGATGGAATCACATCGCTGGACGATAGCGGGATTTTACTGATATTCATTTTCCTGGCAATCTGCCATCCAGATCTTATGCTTGACCATACCCGATGAGGATATTTATTAAAGAGCTTCGCTAGTTTCGACACCTATCCTAGCCCTATTCCATTTGCTTTTCGAAAACTTTCCTGGCCTCTTTATCACCAATCAATGTTCACTTGGGAGAATATCATTTTTGACAATGATGACGCACACCGTGTTGCAAAGTGTTATTTAGTATCCCATTGATAGAGAGTGATGTACTAAAATTTCGCGTCAGGCTGGACTAGAATCCACACCTCACTCCTTCCAGCAGCGCGTGCTCTATCCGTTACACTATCGACGCCCATTATTACTCTTTCTATGCTACAGCGCATCTATGTTATTCCTAATAAGTCAATACAGGTATGCAGTCACATTTGGTAATCTCTGCTAAAATAAATTGATAAACAATAGTGATACTATCTACCTCGTTTAGATGTTAGGGACATGTAAAAGAGCGCTCGCGTAGATATGATTTCAGTATCAATGTTCATCAGAAAATATTATGTTCTGCACAATACATTTTGCAGAAGCCTCGAGATACCATAACTGAGTGTGCCCTAAAACTATAAGAAGAGTTTGAGGCTACAAAAGTACATTAGTCACACATTCTCACCGTAATTAGTCAAGGAATGTTTTGATATTGAAGGTGACTCGCCCTATTTGCGTCTGTAATCGTACAAAACACAATTTTTTTTAGAACAAATATTTCGGCTGGCTGTCTCTGATGAGTGTGAATTTCACAGTCGTGCAAGTAAAATTTGATTCTCAAAACAGAGCGAAACAATCTGTTCCACCTCCAAAAGTAGTTTTCTTGCCTGAACATTGTTCTATGGCTGCGTGTGTGGTTTTATTCTTTTGCCAACCACTGTCTATTTGGTGGTGATATAGAATGAGATCCAAATTCTTGGTAAAGAGACGAAAATAGCGTAGAGTGTGGAGATTAGAACGCACTGCAACCGAGATAGTGAGTCGGCTGAAGTGCCTTAGACAATAAGGAAAACAAGCAATGTTCTTCTTGTCTTGGTAATTTTTCAGAAAGCGCATCGTTTAAAGTAGTTGGAACCTGGCTTTCGTAATATGGTTTCTAACAAGTTTCGTCTCCTCGTTATAGATACTCTCCTACTGGCCAAAACTAAAATGTTATAGCCCAGTTTAAGTCTGCTGTAATCTTCTTGGAAAGCTTCGTCACCTACATTCTCTCCTTTCAAAATGGTGAAGAAAAACCCTGTTCGTATAGATACACCACCCATGCGCCAAATTTCAAAGCGACGATAGCCTGCGGAACTTCAAGGTTCATAATTCATGACAAGCGTCAGAAAAGCTAGCAAACGGATGTTGAGCTTCTTAGCTTCGCTTCAGTTTGTTTCTTAACACTATGTAAAAAGACATGAGAACTTTTTCAGGTTTAGTTGGAAACACGTGCTATTCTGTCTTCGTTTCGCGGCAGTAGAAGAAACTAAAAAGGTTCAAAAGCCACTTCCACAAATGTAGTGATGTTGTACAAGGCGTCAAAACTTTGTGGAGTCTCAAATGCTGATCGCGTCCTCTACAGCTGTTCTGTGGACCGTATATGTTTGCCACTATTGCGCTAAACAATATTCAAGTCATTAAAATGCCATGACATATCGTATCAAGCGAAAAAATCACCAAAAATACAAAAATTTGGACTAAAACTCGGCTCAATTTGAATGTAATAATATATTCGATTTCAAAGCTATGGAAATCGCTTTCATTCCTCGAAAGCAAAATCGTGTTTTACCAGTACCTACGAGCACTGAGTGCATAAGTAGTATTCTGATATGAGAAATTTCTCTAAACTTTCATTCATTTGCTTAACACTCAACTAATTGCATTGCAAACAATGTCGGCTCATAATTAATAAGAAATGATACTAATGTCGGCCTGCTAAAATCCACGACTTTTATATCATTCGTTTTGAGTGATTTCCCAAGACCACCGCTTGAATTTCGATATGCCAAAGAACCATTTTTGAGCCACGCATGTCATGTGGTTTTTGAAAATGGGCTGACTTATAGAACCCGATAAACGTTTTTTCGATCTTGCGATCTCGGTCAGTCGTGCGGTTACCCATTCTCGTCTTTCGCTAAGCTCTGTGGGTGCCCCTTCCTCACACTAAGAGTTAGTGACGACGAACGTTTTACTTCCTATGTCCAGCGAAACTATTGCCGAACACAAAGCGTTGTACACTCAATTGCTTTTGGCTAGTATAATTAAGTTGAGTTGTGGTCTTAAAAAAACACCCGAAAGGAATTATATGATATATTAAATATACTAGCCAAGAGCAATCGAGTGTACAACACTCTGTGTTCGGTGATAATTTCATTGGGCATAAAGTGTAAAACG